CTATGGAGGAAAGAAACCTGAGGAGAAACTTAAGGACATGTTTACTTGGCTGCTTATAACATAGTTAGGTTATCAATCCGTCTGAAGTAAACATGTTGTGCTGCTTAAGGACGCGCTTAGTAAGCATATTTCGTCCCTAGGCGTAGCTTATTAAAACAGAAATTGTTCTAAATAGGAGTAAAAAGGTTTTGAAATTCGAAAATAGGAGTATCATGTTTTTTATTTCTTGAATAGGAGTAATCTGCCAAGTTTGGAAGAAACTGCCATCTTTAAAGCCTTGTAAAACTAAACTTGGCAGAAATTTACTCCTATTCAGGGAATAAAAAACATTATACTCCTATTTTGGAATTTCAAAACGTTTTTACTCCTATTTAGGAAATTATATCTTATTAAAACCGACCTCCCCCCATGTTTTATTTAGAGGACGATTTAAGCTTTTTCCATGTCTATCCTACCCTTCCAGTTATTGGAAGATGAATTTTATTTACAGTTCCATCCCAGCATGTCATATCTATATCTCGCCCATACCTTTTTTTGTTTGTTTGTTCTCGCCCATACCTTTATGTATACAAAGTGCGTTATCTTCCTCCTATTAGTCCTATACAACAAAGTGAACAAATGGACGATTTAATTATCATTGTCCATTAACACCGACATACAAGCTCGTATGTCTGAATCAATATCTCAGGTGTGAGTTCATTTGGGTCTGAAAGTTTTTACATGCAATTTTTTTCTTCAATTTTTTGATAGTGGTATTTTGAACCCTAATCCATCAATTTCCTTCATTCGATACAAGCACTTAAAATTCTTGGAATTTTCGTTTTAATTTTTTGAAGAAATACTCATTCTTATGCAATTTTAGTTTTTATGGAAGAAAAAAGAAACGAAGAGATGATATCATTGCCGAAACAGGTCTAAGATGAAGGTGAAATCTCATCGTACATGTTTTCCTTTCTATAGGGTTATTATTGACTTTTTAATGGTAAGACACAGTTTAAGTCGAATGAAGTAAACGCATATTTGATAAACAGTTCTTATTAAGCAGCGGCTTATTAAGACAAGGTTTAACAAGCAATGTTTATTAAGCACCAAAGTAAACATGTCCTAAAAGTTATGTGTATGAGCATGCATTAGGAATTTAATTAACTTGGAAGTTTTCTAGAATGGTGCAAGCTAAGTGAACTCCTTTCTTCTATGTGATGCCTTTTTAATCCGGAAAATGGTAGAGAAAGAAATTAAAGAGGAAATAGATGGGAAATTTGGAAAAAAGAAAGTTTGGGATTTATTATAAAATATGTGTGTGCGCACGTGTGATCATTTTTATTCAAATTTTCAAACTTTCAAGAATGCCGCAAGTCAGCTCCTCTCTCTCTCTCTATTTCATCACTATCGAGTGCCGACTATCTGTGTCTTGTAGGAAATGCCTGGAATCTGGAAAAAGTTAACTAGATAAAGAAAATTGGGAGGAAAATATATGGGAGATTTGGAAGGAAAGAAAAATGGGATGAAATCTAAAGACTATATATATGTGCCTGCATGACTCAACATTCTTATTCAACTGTTGACTTTTCAAGCTTGGTGCAAGTCAGCTCGTTTCTCTTGATTTCATCACTGCCCACCATCTCTCTTCGATAGTTTGCTTTAACTGAGTGTTGATTGTGATCAAATTTATTAATGCAAGCTGTGGCTGTTAAGCAATTTGATCGGAATGGGCTTCAAGGGAATAGAGAGTTTATCCACCATCCTAATTTGGTTAACTTGATTGGATGCTGAGCAAATGATGACCAGAGGTTTCTTGTCTATGAATTCATGCCCTTGAGATAACTGGAAGATTACCTTCATGTAAATCATATTACTATACCCTTCATTCTATACTTGGAATGGATGCATTTGCATTTTCATAGTAAGGAATGATTCATTTAAGAACCATAAACTATAATAATACACAAGTAAAACATCAATTAACTCAAAGAAATCACACTGTGACAAATGATTCATGTCTACTAGCAAGATACACCAGTAAAGTGCAAATTAGAGTATGGCATAATAATACCAGTACCAAGTGAGGAGCTTAGGAGATAGATAATACATGGAAAAGAAAATCCATTGATATCTTGAGTTTCACGGAGATATCCTCCATAAACTTAACAGTGCAGTATATGAAGATATCCTCCATACAAATGTATATGAACTTGACCTATTCGTAATATGAAAATATGAAATAGCCTGTACTAATAAGTAATTGATAAGTCAGGCAAATGATTATAGCTACGGTAGGATGTGCCATTATAAACTTAACAGTATCCAACCGGAGGAGCAGCTGTTGGGTCATGTAACGGGAAACAAAAAGGGCTCTCTCAAGTTGGTTAGAATATTGGCGATATCAAAACTTTATAAAATTAATCTAAATGCTAAAGCCTGAAAACGCTTTACAAAATCAACACTAACAAGTGAAACCTAAAAGAGAACAATGAGTCTAAAGAAACTAAAATAAACTAAAATTACAATAACAAACATCCCAAACACATGAGTCTTCTTCATTGGACACGACGTAATATAATCTACTTTAAAAAGCAGTGTTCCCAACAACTTAATCGTGTTAAATCTATGAAAGAAGTCTTTTTATTCAGTAAATGGTAGTAACTTGTTTAAAAAAAAATAGGCTGGAGACTTAAAATAACAAAAACCTTATCTCATATCAGGGCTTAGAAAATTACCCGTAAAAAAAACAGCACACTATACTTGATAAATTATGTGGGAGGCATAAAATTATAAATGGAATTCCTTAGCAACTGATAAATTAAAAGCTCCAATTAGTTATTTATATATTCCCCCATAACTATTATGAGCCTTGAATTGTAATCTTGTTTCACATAAAATGTTCGAGACTGATTAGGCCTATATGTATGTTTTAGGAAAACTTTCTATGGAAATTTAGTTCAAACGGCCAACAGTGAATTTAAGCATGGACTTATGTTCCACAAATGGTTATTCAAACTAATACTGACAATAAAATTAGGGGGTGTTTGGAACCGCTTCTACAATCTGATTCTGCTGTTCCAAGGAGCACTATGAAGCAGAATCAATTTTGTAAGTGTTTGGATCTGATTTTAAAAGTGATTTTAAAAGGCTGAAAAATCAGTTTTGTAGAAGCTGGGTAGTAGCAGCTTCTTCCAAACTGATTCTGCTTCTTCCAATTTTATTCCTAAAAACCCTCGCTCAATTTTATTTCTCTTCTTCGCATCGTCCCACCTGCTAGAGCTTCTCCTACCTGTGCCGCAAGAGCTTCTTCTCCTCCTACCTAAGCAAACTGCGATTTCCAGTTGGCTCTTCTCTGCTCCGTTCCACCGCCCAGCCCAGGTGAACCACGATCCAGTTAGCTCTTCTCTTCTGTTGTGGATTTTTTTTAATCTCATGTATATTAATTACGGAGTAATACTGAGTATCTTTATTCCATTATTTTGTCTTTGTTAATTCTATATGGTTGTTATTTTCACCATTATTCCATTATTTTGTCTTTGTTAATTCTATATGGTTGTTATTTTCACCATTTACGGTTCTATTGTGAAGTCATTTACGTTTTTTTGCATTTAAGAAACTGTTTATATAAGTTAGATATTGTATTTTTTTAGTACAAGTAATTTTTTAAGTTATAATTAATTATATTTGGATTACATTATATAAGTAAATGTTATTATTCATATATCTCTATCTTAGCCTATGTAAATAACAATATTATTTTATATTACAAGGAATGCCTACTATATGCCCTTTTGGTAAATTTACACCAAAAGCGGTTTTGAAAGCAAGTTATCCAAACACTCTAAACTGTTTCTCTGTTACATACAGCAGAATCAATACCAAACACTCCAGACAGAATCACTTTTTCAGACAGCAGAAAATTCTGATTCTGATTCTCACTTAAAAAAAGAAGCAGAAGCAGAATCAGTTCCAAACACCCCTAAACACCCCTTAGACAGTAAACAAATGCCAGGGGCTAAAAGTTTACCCGGACTAGAGTGTCGAACAACGGATAGAGCCTTTACCAAGAGAGCGAAGCATCACCTCTACTGGTTATGACTTATGATCGAGCCTCAATTGAAATTTGTATGAAATCTGTAAATCAAATCATCATTTAAACAGAAATTAATAACTGAGTGAACGGTGGGAAGATGATTAAGGGGAAAAAAAATCAATAAGAGAGATGCCTGAGAGAAAATCAAGGAATCAAAGCAATTCAGGGATGCGAGTGTCGGACATGTGTATCATGTATGAGAGGAAGAAAATTAGTTCTGAGTGGGTAGTAGCCTTAACAAGGGTGGAATACGATGAATGAAAAGGGAGAAGAAGAGGCGGGTGGAGTGGATGGGCTGTGTTAACGGAACGTTTGTTTACGGGAGAAGGAAAGTCGGATCTTGTTCCTTCTGCTCCTTAAGAGAGGAAGACTGAAAGTGGTTTGGAGCTCTAATTAACTCTTAGATATTAGATTTTTGGAAGTTGGGGAGACTAATTTGTGAAAATTGATTCTGATTCTGTTTTTGCTTTAAAAAAGAAACAGAAACAGATTCAATTCCAAACATCCACACACTCCAACTTTTATTTGTGTTCCCTGAAGGATCAGAAGCAGTTTTATAATCAGATCCAAACACCCCTTAGTATAAGTTGAAAAAGTTATGGTTTAAGCCAACACATTTTTTGATACCTAAAGTAAGCTTACCTTTATTGGCGTTTATAATTTTGTACTAGGTATTTGTAAAGAAAAGTGCATAATTTGATTGTGATAGTGCCTTCCAAATAAAATTAATGAAATTCAAGATATCTAATGAATGAATACACTAAACATGACGTATTTGATATGGGTTGTCATAAAACTAAAAAATGCTCCATACATCACAAGTGCATAGAAATATGTACTTCAGAGGATGGAAAAACAACATAAATATAACTAATAATTTGGAAGAGGATAAACCTTGTAATTACTCTTGAGAGAATTTGGAGATATTACACGGGACTTTTCGATATTTCATTTACACCTATAATGTTTCAGTTAAGCATATTTTCATCACCTGGTAGATTGAAGTTGGGTCAAAGAGACTAAGGGCCCGTTTACTTTGGACTTAATGAGCTGAATGGAAACAGTGACTTAATCATTCAGTTATATACTTGTGTTTATTTATGACTTAATGTAATGTAGGACTTATTGGCTCAGTCAATTTACGTCTTACTCGTTCAGACGTAAGACGCGCCTGCCTTTGCGGAATGCCTTCTTTAACCCTATCATCTCCTTCCAAATATTTCATCGCACACAACAACAAAGAAGAACCTGCGGAAATCGTCTACCTGAGCATCCTGTGAGCTTTTACCATACCAACTAAGAACAACCTCAAAGCCTAACTTTTTCATCTCGGTATTTTCTCTAATCTTTATCTTTTGTTCTATTTTTTCTCCTTTTTCTCGATCTGGTCAGTTCCTAATTTCTATAGATGGATAAAATTTCAGAAATTCAACTTAATTTAGAGAATTCATAATCTTAAACCTCATGTCAAACTCATATTCTTCAACTTAATTTCTAATTTTCTACAAATTCGTAAAATTTCACCATGTAATTGAAATCATCCACATAGCCGCCTATGTGTTCGCTGAAAGTGTTTCAAGAACACTAACTTTTATATTAACATGTATGTATATATGTATCTATTCAAAAGTAAATATTTTGATTTATTCTTGGGATGTTTATACATCATTGTTGGGATATTTTTATTGTTCTTGGTATATATGGTGAATTTTTATCTTTCGAACACTTTTTAGGAATATTAGTAGATCTCCTGGACCAAGTTTTATTATTTCTTTTTCTCCCTTTATGTTAAATTTTATTGTTGATTCATTTTTTATTGTTTTTTTCCAATTTGAGGCAGATTTTATCTTTAGTTAATGCAAGTGATTACAGATATCTTGTGATCATAGTTTTATTTGACCTCATTAGTCATTGTGGAAGTAGACAGCTCTATGGTTGATGCAAGTGATTGCAGATTTTATCTTTGGTTGATGCCTTTGTGATGTTAAAGTATTAGATGACTTCAAAATTGAAATGTCAAATATCAAATTTTCTTACTTGGTCCAAAACAACTAGTTGATTCATTGTTTGGCAGTTTGTGAGTTTGTGACAAATAAAAAAAAGTTTTAAGGCATATACATAAATGTTAACTGGTAGAGCATATATGAGCATATAAAAAGCTGGTAATTTTTACTGTAGTGCTCCATGTCTTGTAAGGGAATGATTCAAACAAGATATAAATATTCACACTCTGTTTTCTCATGTTCTATTTTATTCGTTTGCAATTTCTAGGCTTCTAGCCAAGCATGTAGTTCCACAATTCATACTCTGTTTTTCTCATACTTTGTAGTTGCATATATGCTTGATCAATGTTCTAAAAGGCGCTAGGCGCTAGTCGGGTGTCAGCCCAGCGCCTAGGCGGCTAGGCGGACGCCTAGTCGGGGACTAGCCGGAGACATAAAATTTGCATTTTTATCTATATTTTTGCATAAATATGATAAGTAATATTGTATTTTTGTGTGTATAAAATACATATATCAGGCCGGCCTGACGGGCTGCCCCGTCCGGCCGAGCCCGTTTGGGCACCTTTCCAGTGGAATTTTTTGATGAAATTTTTTGAGCATGTTCCTCGTCAAGTCTAGTTTGTCCATACTAAATTTCAGCTCAAAATTCGATCGGGAAGGTCGTCAAATGATTTTTGCAAGTTAACTGGTCCGGAAAATACATATTCCGGACCAGTTAACTTGCAAAAATTGTTTGACGACCTTCCCGATGGAATTTTGAGCTGAAATTTGGTATGGACAAACTAGACTTGATGAGGAACATGCTCAAAAAATTTCATCAAAAAATTCCACCGGGAAGGTGCCCAAACGGGCTCGGCCGGACGGGGCAGCCCGTCAGGCCGGCCTGACATGAACATTCCTCTACCTATATATTAACAAACATGAAAGATAGACTTATCACATTTAATCATATGTAGTACGGAGTATATGATAACTAATCATTTAACTTCATTATGTTATAGATATAAATAATGATAAAATTTAGGTATATATACAAACATATATAATTTTATTTTAATTTACAACTTCATTTCTTTATATACATGACTAAAGTTAAAGTACGTTAATCATTTGAAAAATTAAAATTAAAAAGTAAAGTAGTTCAGTGAATCTAGACGGTCTAGGCGGCCTATTAGGCGCTCTAGGCGCGCAACTAGGCGCCATAGGCGGTCGACTAATTCACCTAGATGGAAAACCAATTAGTCGGAGCGTCTAGACGAATCGGGGCGCCCGGCCACCGCCTAGCACCTAGGTGGGGACTAGTCGGACGCCTAGAACGATTTTTAGAACAGAGTGCTTGATATACTATTTAGGTGGGTAGCTATTTTACATCTTTGACCATGATAGTTTTTAGTTGCTCTCTATCCTATTACATGATGTGTGCACCACAAGAAAGCAGATATTTATTGTTTTAATTAATTTTTATTTAGACCTTCTTTTTTAAAACTTCAAAGATTTAGGATTAATAAGTTTAATTTTGAAGGCAAGAAGGCTCTGCAGTTAATTAGGCAGCAACTAACTCCATTTTAGCTTGTGTAGACTTTTGAGTGTTTCTTCAATCTGCACAGGTTTTAGAAGTTGTTCAATGCAGTTTTTTCTTATAAAAGTACGCTGCTTTTTCTTAAATAATTAGGCTGAATTTTGAAACACAATTTTCATTCTTTAGGTATGGAACATGCCATGATGCTGGTGAATCAGAAAGGAATGTGGTGAATACAAAGGAATGTGGTGAATGTTTGTTTTGGTGAACATAATTAATTATAAAGTCTAAAATTGAGGATGACTTTTTCAATGAATGGGATGATAATATAATCAACAATAAAGTACAAGAGGAAGATGAAGATATTTGAGAATTTGTGGGAGGAAATTGGAGCACAAGAGGAAGGTGAAGTACTTGGAGCACAATGGGGTACACAAAGTCTACAATATATGGCGAATTTGTGGGAGGAAATTGCTAATAGAATAGGAGGAAATGTTTAAATTCAAAATGTTGTTCTCGTAAAATGCTTGACTTTTTCTTATTGTCTAATGTGACTCTTTTATTTAAATAATTCATACTGTATATTATTATTTTATGCATATAAAATTATCGTTTAGAACAAGAAAAGTAAACAGACAATATACATTCAGCTCTTGTTCTAGACAGGAGGGTTATTTGGTTATTTGATAATATTCAGACATCTCATTCAGCTCACATAGTAAACAGTTTGTTATCTTAGTGTCACTTAATCCAGACAGACAACTTAATGCAGACAGACGTCTTAATCCATTCAGGACTTAATGAAAAAAAGTAAACAACCCCTAAGTGATTTATTCAAGCTTATCTTCTTGTAATCATCAGTTGGCAATTGGCATATATGGAAGATATATTCATCTTATACATGTGCAAATCAAGTGATACCGTATGTTGAATACACAATTCAACAGATAAATTTTATTCGCAGAGGTGGATTTCAAATAACTATTTCCAAATTAATACTACCTCCGCCCCCTAAGTTTGGGACAAGAAAAGGTGACACGGCTATTAATAAAAGTGAGTTTATGTGGTAGATATTTAATTGATAAAGTAAGAATAAAGTAGGAATGATTTAGAACCACACAAAGTTTACCAAATAAAGTATGAGACAATCTTAGTGGGACGGACCGAAATGGTAAAATGGGACAATCATAGCGGGACGGAGGGAGTATTTAATTATGAAGTTCAGAGAGCCTATGGCGAGAAGCAAGAGTCCCTCTCTTTTGAGAAACAGCCACAAATTCCACTTATTCAGGCATATTTTGATGCGTCGGACAACTTTGACTATTCCGACGACTCTTTCTTCTCAGACGATTTTCTAGGACACGCAACCGAAAGTGATCGTCATCTTCCAATATCAAATCAGGAAGAGATTGGGAACTCGAAATTCAACAGAACAATTTGCCGTAAATCAAAGTTCGTCACCTATGAAAATTGTCTGCCAACAGACAATCTGAACACCCAACTAAAATTTTACCGGAAATCTCAACAAAACAAAAGGCGACATAGCATGAGGACTAGATCGCAATCCAGAAATTTCCCTTGGGTTTAGTTTTTTTTTCTTTTTTTCTCTTTTACTCGTGTATTTTCTTTTATGTTTTTTTTTTTTACTTTTTATTCGGCTTCTTGCATTGTACTTTTTATTGTTATGAATAAAATCATCTTTTCTTCAAAAAAAAAAAGGTGGATTTTAAATTTCTCAAAGATGAAGAGTAGGCCTAATGACCAATTTCTTTACGAAGAATCATTAATTCCTAAATACTTCTGGTTTAGAGGGATTCATTTCAGAGCCGTGAACAACAACAACACATCATTTCAGAGCCGTGAACAACAACAACATCATTTCAGAGTTGTGAAATGGATTAAATTCGGGGTCGGCTAACAATTCATTTCAGAGCTGTGAAATGGATTAAATTGAACAATCAATTAAAGCTTAATGTTGACGTGTCTTTCTTACCCGGCAGAGCCTCCGGCGGTGCTATCTTGAGAGACTAAAAGGGACAAATGATGTCTGCTACATCTTTCCTCTTCCAAGCGAGATCCAGTGATGAGGCAGAACTTATTGCGACAAAAGCGACGAAGTGAATTATTGAAGCAGGATTCAACAATTTCCAAGTTGAATGAAACAGATGACCTGAGTATAATCTCTAATATCCGAAGATGCAAATTATCATTACTAGAGACGGGCTTACTATAGGACATACCTCATGTTGAATGTGTTCCGGAAAATCAAAGAAAATAAATTAATTAAAATTAATTAAAACAGCCAAAGAAAACCGAAAAAAGATGAAACAAAAATTAGTCAAAACGAGTGCAACGCACAATATCCTTAAAACGTATTCGTTGTCTCCCAAGAGACCAAGATGCTAGTATACGATCATTTCCCAGGATACGATGACTATGAACACTCGTTAAGCACCCAACGAATTGTTCCACCAAACGGGAACAAGCAAGAACAGAAAGGAATATTTCTGAAAATTGGAGGTGTGTTTGAGCTGAAAACAACGTGGATAATGTGTTGTGTGTTGTGTTTGTTGCAAAGCACCTGACATCCATTTATAGGGATCGATTTGTAGTGTGTTAATGACGTATTAATGGAGTTGAACGTTGGACATCAATGGTCCGAACGTTGGGCATTGATTCATCCAAAAACAGCCCATTTAATTGCATGATCGTTGGGCAATAATGTTGTAACGTCGCAGCAGCAGCTTGCTGCTGGCCGTTCAACTTGGAGCGGCAGCTTCCTCCCAACGGGCTGCACCTTGAGCAAAATAGGAACATTACATGAAGAAGCAAAAATTAAATCTTATCTTTAGAAGAAAGATAGACCCTCTAACGCCTTCAAAGAGGGTTCCCTTTATAAGGGATTGGAAATCCCATGAGTATTCTTGTATGGGATAAATCACACTATAACCCATCATTTTCCTAGTTTTTTCTATTTCAACGAGTGAACTTCGAGAATCAATTTCTCATTCACTTGTTGTCTGTTTTAAGTGTACCATATATCGAATTGTAGCCCTATATGGCGGCGAAAGGTTGTGTACCACTAGCAGCTAGTGGAGAGTTTCGAGGATTTCGTTCATAGTTGCGATCAGAAGGTCATAGACGAAGCGTGAGGCTAGGGGTTGGAACAGATCTGGACCGGAGGCAATGAGCGGAAGAAGCTACAGTACTATTGGATCGTCCTCCTCCTGAACCGCCGCCATGGAGAGCAGGAGAGTTTAGGGTTTGGAAGCAGTATTTAATTTTACTATGTGCTTGCTATTTATTTTTCATTATCAGACTGTTAATTTTACTATGTGCTTGCTATTTATTTTTCATTATCAGACTGTTTATTTTTCTGTTGGTTACTTTTATTGTTGCAAGATTCTTGCATTAGGATTGGGTGACAGGAGGTCTGCTTTAACCGTCTTTGGCTCATTTATGCCCATTATAGGATCAACGAGTTATATAGCTTTTTTGGAGGTGATCGACCCTAAGTCTGGTTCGAGGGTTGACGGTTGTGTGTGGTTCTTTTGTCATTTTACCTCCTATCTGAATGTCATGATATCAATTTAATGTTGGGATTGGGGTAGAAAAACGTAGCGGAATAAACAAAAATTTACTACCCAAAAATAAACAATCGGATCTGAGGTTCATATTATAAACGAAATTACAAGACATAAGAGGGACTTACATAGTAATCTTAATCAAGGATGTCAGACAGTCCGAGAAAACGATCCCGAGCTCTACCGGTATCCACACGCACGTGACTGGATCGGCCGCAGGGAACGTGCTAGCGTTCTCTTCTTTCTTCCTCTCTACTCTAGGTTTAAGAAGTGAATTTTTAACTATCAAATTTGTGGGCCTATATAGCCCTATTTATAAGAGGAGGAAAGAAGGGGTTTTATGGCTAGCAAAACCCTTAAAGAGACCCTAGCCCAATACCATTTGAAACCCTATTTCAAATTAGGCTAATCAAGCTATTTTAATATTATTAACAAATATTAATGATCCAAATCACTTAGGTGTGTGACCCTGTAGGTTTATATATTATTGGCAGTGGGCTAGAAATTAATTCGAACCTCACAAATCATAAGCGGCCTCTAGCAAGGCATTATGACTATCCAAAAAAATATACAAATGTCAATTAAATCTGACATAACCTTTTAATGATTAATTTGTGCTAATAATTCTCTTTTGTCAAACGATATCTTAATTGAGACAAGGTTAGGTCATGTCATCCTTGTTATTCTCAATTAATATTTCTTGATTACCAAGTAAGATTAATCTTGATCAAATAGCATCTCATCCGAGCATGGCCATGCTAATTAATCTTACTTGTCAAGGGGCCCAATAGATAACATTCTCTCGATATACAAGAGTGACAAAAACTATCTTGATAATTCACATACTACTACATGATTCTTAATATGTACAATCACCACCTTTATAATTATCTATTTAAAGATAACATTTAATGATGTTAATACATATTAATTCCCATGCAAGTAACCATGATTATCTCAAGTATAAGAATATAGCACCTCATCATTATTGAGGACAACACTGATGACATATAACCTAGCAGTGTTTTCAAGTTGGGTCTGTCCAATGAACTTGTTCCCTAACAAGCATCTATGTTATTAACTTGATATCTCTATACCCATGACTAGTGGAATATAGTCATCAGTTAATCCACATAATGGTCTATTAATTATTAATGTCCCAAATTAATAATATTAGACCCGGGACAATTAGAATATTATGCTTATTTTAAAGTGTAGCATTCCACAATTAAGTCACATACTTAATTAGCTACTAAAAATAATATTCACGGACTAAATATTAATAAAGAAAACTCACAATAATAATTAACATAAAATGAGTTTGTGACTTTATTAATTAATGAGCATTAAATATTTATTGATAAATCATAAACTATGATTGTCCTAGGGCATATTTCCAACATTTAAGTCATCCGTTTTGACGATAAAAAAAATTGTTGTGTTGTACTCTGAGAAGGAATGTCTTCTCTAGTGAGGTTTTGGTCTGGTCCCCATATATCATTTGTTGTTTTTCTTATTCTATCCTAATAAAATACGGAGTATATGGTAAATGTTCCCCGATATTTACCTCACTAATTTTGGTTAGGGGTGGGCATAGTCTGGGATGGTCCAATACCCGTACCGTGACTATTGAAAATGTCATGTTTGGTTCGGTCCTAGACCTAAACCCGTTCGGTGCGATTCTCTTTTAAAACGGGACGGTACCATGTAGGCCTGGACTCGGGCCGGTTCGGGCCCGGTTCGGGCCTGGGCCCGGCCGGGCCTCGGGCCAGGAAAGGGGAGGCCCGAGCCCGAACCGCCGGTGACCGGTTCCGGTTCCGGGCCAAACCGGGCCGGGCCAAACCGGCCCAATTTTTTTTTTTTTGTTCTCCTATTTAATCCCCTACCCCTCCCCCTCAACCCCAAACCACCCCAAACCACCTCAAATGGCCCAAAATACCTATTCCAACCCAAGATTTAAAAAATTTTTCAAAAAAAAAAATTAAAAATTAAAATTCGGCCCGGACCGGGCCCGAACCGGCCGGGCCGGTTCGACCCGAACCGCCGGTGGACCGGGCCACCGGGCCGGGCCGGTTGCTACAGTGGCCGGGCCGGTTCCGGGGCGGGCCGCCCGGCCCGAGTCCAGGCCTAGTACCATGCCATAGCAATAACAACCAATGCCATTTTTTTTCAAATTTTTAAAGGGAAAGTAAAGTTTAGTAATCCTCTAAAAGTTCACAGAAATTATCAATTTTCATGTTACATAATTCATAAATTTTAGATAAAGTATAGCAGTACTAAACATAAATCACAAAACATTAATGTGAGATGCACGTTTACGTTTACTTAATTTGAGATGTACAAAACATAAATCACAAAACATAAATCCACACAACAGTTTACATGTTCGTTTAAGCCATACTTCGGTCTGATAACGGCTCTCATTTAATGAAAACTGGTCATGACATGGTTTGGAACCAGTGTGATCCAAAGACAAAAAAATTGATATCCGTTCTAAACCCCATTTCTCAGTTTGGATCATATCGATCCGGTTTGGTACCATGTTGGTTCCGCATTTTTGTTCATCCCTAATTTTGGTGATTTGCCTAATAGGTTCAAAAAAAATGGAAGATGATAAACCTTACAAAAAAAAACTCTTTATGTTAAAAAAACAAATTAAGGGGCATTAATTAACCAATCACAAAGTTGGGACATTAATTAAGGGGCTTGGTATTACAAATAGAACTATCGTGAAATAACACAATGACCCTCTCTCTACATGTGCACACGGTACCTTTTTTTTTTTTTACTGAATTCGGCTTAGATTAATAACCAATACTCCGTAATTCAGAGTATGGGTCAACTGACAAAAAGAAAACTGATAACCGTTATCCCTCGAACCAGACTCGGAATTAATCACCGTAGCAATAAAATTCGCTGATCCATAACCGGGAAACAAAAAGGCATAAACGGTTACCATATTCCTCTCACCCCCCATATCCAAAATCAACGTCTTACAAACTGGAAAATAAACGAAAAAGCAAATACCAAAACAGGACCAAACAACATACAATTTGACAGAAAAACACAAACTGGATAAAACGAAATTAAAATAGAAATCACTCATCTTCTTCCAAACTCTAGATTTGCTTGCACTCCACGCCGTCCACGGCGGCGGCTCGGGAGGGGGACGTGCCCGCCGTTCATCCGCCACAACTTCAACATCAGCTTTATTCAGATCCAGTTCTTCTTTGTCCACAAAGCTTCCCATACCGAAAAGAGAAAACTCAAACGAAAATCCAAAACTCGTTTCCACCTCCATATCCGCCGACGAAGCGGGCTTATACCGATGTCGCATAAGTCTTCAAGCAACACGCCCAATTCGAAGGAAGACTGAAGCCTTCACCTTGTTGTCCGTCAATACTCCAAACAAAAAGCACTTTCAACAAATAAAAGACGTGATGGCTAGCCAAGAAAGCTCGCCGCCGGACAAAGCACCTCTAACAAATAAAAGACGTGGTGGCTAGCCAAGAAAGCTTGCCGCCGGACCCTACGGTGGGGGGGGATGCGAGGATTGTGCGCTAAATTGCAGGCATTTAAGGCAGATTTAAAAAGCTGGAACCGAGATGTTTTTGGTGACATTTTTTCATCCATTCAGAAACTGGAAGTGGAGGCTTTGGCTGCGGAAAAGGACTACGAAGAGTCCCCTACTGATTATACCAGGGCAGCTTGTCAGAAAAAACAAGCGGAGCTCATTTTGAGGATCAAGCAACAAGAAATTTTTTGGAAACAAAAAGCCAATGTAAAATGGTTTAAACAAGGGGATGCAAATACAAAAATTTTCCATGAGGCTGTACGAGATAAGATCCGAAGGCAGCACATTCAGGCTATTAAAAAATCTAATGGTGATTGGTGCTATGATCCAGAAGAGATAGGCAGGGAGGCAGTTGATTATTTTTCTAATCTCTATGCGAAAGGCCAGACCCATGATTTCGGGAGGATGTTACAATATATTCCTAAGATTCTGGATGGGGCTGATAATGGCATTCTATCAAAGATACCAGGAGAAGAGGAAATTAGGGAGGCAGTATGGAGTCTGAGTCAGGATGCAGCGCCGGGATGGTTTTGGAGGGAGCTTTTATAGAGGGTGTTGGGATATAATCAAGAGAGATGTGATTATGGCGGTTCAGGAATTTTTTCTGGGTTTTGATATACCTAAAGGTGTGGGTAGCGTAAGCATGTTTTTGATACCCAAAAAGAAAACCCCCACTTCATTTGGAGATTTCCGCCCTATTTGCCTTTCTACCTTCATAAGCAAAATTAACACTCGAATCTTGGCATCCAGAATGGCAACTATTTTACATAAAATTATTTCTAAGGAGCAGTCTGGCTTCATGAAGGGAAGAGAAATCAGAAACCAGGTTCTGGTGGCGATGGAGATGTTGCAGTCTTGATAAAAAAGTGAGGGCCTCGAATGTGGTTGTAAAACTTGATATGACTAAAGCTTTCGATAGGGTGGATTGGGATTTTTTGGATTCTGTCCTAGATAAATTTGGCTTTGAGTTGAGACTCAGAAAGTTGATTTTGGGTAATCTTAGGTAGGCCTGTCAATGGGCCGGGTCTAGACCCGGACCCGACCCGGACCCAGTTGTTTTTAACGGGTATGGGTCCTTATTTTATTCCGTTTTCCCGGACCCGGACCCGGACCCGTTAGTACTTTTAATAAATGGGTCGGGTATGGTACTTATGATTCCGACCCGTTAAGGACCCGGACCCGTTTAAAATTTCTTATTAGTATATATACACACACTAATACATAAAGAGATTAATTATAATACTTCAAATAAAAATACAAACTAATATATATATAAAGTGATTAGTTTTAATTCTTTGATTAAAAAAGAAACGAATTAATACATACATAATGTATAAGTGATAATATAGTAGTACGTAGTATATAATATGCTTTTATTCCAAAAGAATTTTTTGTGACCTAATTTCTAGTCTAATATACGAGTTTTCTGTGGGAGAGAAAGAGACACAAAGTGCAGAATTGTACGCATCTACAAGACCCGATATTTTATTGAATAAAAGTACTAATTTTCTATGATAAACCTTGATTTTTTTTGAAAAGTGAAGATATATTTTGCTTTTAAATTTGTGCACTTTGATTTACATTTCATATACATGTTTTGCTATTTTTAAAAAATTATATAATGTTCTGTCAAAAAAAAGTTATATAATGTTGTGCATATGATACTTGGCGGGTCTACCCGACCCGGTTCCGAGACCCGTTGGGTCCGGGTCCAAATTTTTAGACCCGCCGGGTAAACGTGTCAGGTCCGGGTCCTTTATTTACTTAGCGGGTCCGGGTCTGGAACACTACGTTCCGACCCGGACCCGACCCTTTGACAGGTCTTAGGAGTACCTTTATATCTATTCTAATTAATGGCGTGCCTTTTGGTTTTTTCAAGCCTTTTAGGGGGTCAAACAGGGAGACCCACTGTCTCCTTTGTTATTTATAATCGTTTCTGAAGCTTTTTCTAGAGGGTTGAACAGGCTGATGCAAGGAGGAGATATTGCAGGTGTTAATATTGGAAGGGGCATCCAGATCACTCACCTAGCTTTTGCGGATGACCTTGTGATATTTTTGAATGGATCGACCAGGTCCATTAAAATTTTGGTTTTTGCAAGACTATCAAGATGCTTCTGGCCAATTGGTTAACAAAGAAAAAAGCAGTTTTGTGGTAGGCAAGCATACTTCAGTGGGAAGAACATTACATATTGAAAACGAGTTGAAAATGAAGTCTGCTAAACTGCCTATTAAATACCTAGGGGTTCCTCTCCATAAAGGTATTACACGTATAGCCCACTGTAAGGAATTGCTGGAAAACTTTGATAATAAATTATCAAGTTGGAAAATGAAGATGTTGTCACAAGGGGGGCGGCTAATTTTGATTAAGCATGTGCTTAACTCGATCCCTTTACATGTGGTTTCAGTGACTAACATACCTGTGGCAGTTGTGAATATGATTAATTTGATGATTGCAAATTTCTTCTGGGGAACCAGAGACAATAAACCTAAGTATCCCTGGGCAAAGCTAAAAAGGCTTTGTAAGCCTACGGTTAATGGTGGTATGGGTATTCGGTCCATAACTGACATTCAAAAGATTCATGCTATGAAAGTGTGGTGGGATTTTCAGAAAGGCCAATCCATTTGGACTGACTTAATGCAGAGCAGATATGGTACACGACATTTGGGAGAGGTAAAACCAACCGATTCCCCGTCTTGGAGAAGAATTTGTTTCATCCATGAAGAGGCAGAAGTTATGGTTATTAGGGGGCCTAACTCTATTACCTGGAAGCATACAAAAGAGGGAGTCTTTACAACAAAGTCTGCATATATGGCTCTATGGCAGCAGGGGGGGCAGTGCATTATCTAATACACAGATATGGAATCCTAGACAAGTGCCTAAAATAAGGGTATTTTTATGGAGGCTATGGCATAAATGCCTACCATTTCCAGAAAAACTTGCAATCTTCTCAATAGTATATCCTACCATGTGTCCTTTTTGTAAAGAAGCAAGTATTTCTGAAGACCACATATCCTTCTTCTTTGTCCATTAGCTCAATCAGTTTGGAATTTCTATTCGAACACCTTGTTACAGAGAGGGGCGTCAGTTAAGAGCATCAAACTAGAACTAATGAGATGGTGGGTTACCAAATCTGGAGATACGATGGAGGCAACATACGCGATGGTCTTACCTGGTGTCATTACGTGGCTTTTATTGAAGGAGTATTGGGATTCGGTCTGGAATGGCGTAATTCCGAAGGTGGAAGGTTTGCTCAGGAAAATTCAAAAATTCATGTTAGAATGGTGCTATGCAAACGAAAATCTTAGAGGAAATGAGAGGTTGAAGGAATTAGGGCTTATTCCCACCTCTTTTCGAAGGAAAAAACCGCAGATCTTCCGATGGGTGAAGTCTCAATTTCCATGCCTAAAGCTTAATTGGGCGATTTTCAGGGGCAGTGGCAAATCCTCAGCTGGTTTCTTATTACGAGATCATGCAGGAGCAGTAGTAGCGGCAGAGGGCTTCCCGTTGAGTGGCACAGTGAAGAAGGAAGAAGTGTTGGCTATGGCGGTGGATTGGGGGGAGACTCTACGGTTTCCTGATTTGGAGATCGAGTCCTCTTTCTCGAAGATGAATCAGGTGGGCTGTAAGTATCTGGGCCGCTTTGCTGGATCTCTCACTTTCTCATTAATTCCGGGCCCCGTTAACTTGGCAGCGGAAATTGTAGCAAGACTGGGCCTCAATGGGGTTTTCTACTGGAAGAAGGGAGATGTTTTGCCCAAAGAGCTTGGGGGTGCTATAAAATTAGATGCTTCATCAATTCCATATGTTTATTTTTAGTTATGTTTTTTCTTATTTGTTGCTCTATATTGGGCTTCTTTTTGCTAAGGGTAAGGCTTTTAGTCCCCCCTTGTGGAATCTGCTTTATTTTGATGTTTTAATAATATCCGGTAAATGTTCCCCGACATTTACCCCACTGATTTTGGTGGTTTGCCTACCGGATTAAAAAAAAAAACTTGCCGCCGGAAAAAACCCTAAGGGAGTTCCTGTGCACACGGTACGTTAAATAAATTTGATGATATAATGATTGTGATTTATTCTTATTTTTCGAATTAGATTGTGATGGTACTATGGACCATGACCATAGCCCAACAGTGAACCTATAAATAAAGCCCATTACTCAGGATCAATGAATAGACGTTACTCAGGCTCAGATAGGGAGATCACGACCCATAAAGGAATACCCATGCCACATCCAAGCCGATCTGGACAACAGGTCTCGAGCGTGGACGGGGTTCAAACGAGATCAAACTCGCCCAATTGCTTATGTGGCAAGCCATCTACGAATGCATGACTATCTGACATTGGCAGGGATTAAACGGAAGAAACGTGGAAATAAAGGAGACATTAATTACGGGAGTTATGAATAAGCCCTCTCATGATTAGCCTTATTAAATGTACCGGTTATGTCTCCTACAAGCTACTATAGCATGACGTATATAAATACTTCTTGTACTTATCTAAAAGAGATTCGCCTCTGAAATAGTAATATTGTCCTACGCTGCCAATTTAGATTGAAGGTCTTCAACAAGCAAAACGTAATTATTATTCTAACACTATATTTACGTATAAACTATATTTATACATTTTATTTATTTTGAACCCATCATTTACTCCATATTACTTTACACATAGTGCAATATAATTTTGAGAAATTGCTCCCAATAGGAGTAAAACATAACACATTTCCCTAAATAGGAGTTAACTCCTAAAATTCCCCAAATAGGAGTAAACATTTTTTTACCCCTAATACCCCTATTGTAATTAATTATTTCCCCCCTAGTTCCCTTGCGCAACAAGGTCAGTCCGTCAGTGGCGGGGCAGGGCGTTGGTAGCGGCGGCAGTCTAATGGTGGCGGTGGCAGATGGCGGCGGCCGGCAGTGGAGCTCCGGCAACCAAGGCAGTCCGTTGGCGGCGGCGGTGCTGGCCGGCGACAAAAATGCTGGGAAAATTCCGGGGGGGGGGGGGGGATCTGGAAGATTTTCTGACGGTGGTCGCCAGAGATCCGGGAGCTGGCGGCGGCAGTCCGGCGAAGTCTGGCCGGCGGCGGTACTGTAGCAGCAGGCAGGGGTATTCTTGTCCATTTACAAAAAAATACTCCTATTTTGGGAATTTTAAAACTCTACTCCTCTTTTTGCATAACTAAAATTTTACCCGTGCGTCACATGGGTGTAAACCTAGTTAATTACACGACCAAGTATTCAACCAAGTCACGGGACTAATAACGGACACAACTCAATGTTACATGACCAATTATTTATTCTACTTACTACCATCATCATTAGGGGTGGGATCGGTCCGGTCTGGGTCGGGTTTTTGCTAAACCCGGAAATTACCCGGAAGGTCTCGAGTTATGAAAATTAGGGACCGAAACAAAGCCCGTTATATTCGGTCCGAATCGGGTTTTTGGTAGACCGGGTTCTGTCCGGGTTCGGGTTGGACCGGTTAAAGCCCGGCCGTGAAATATGTCATTGTTCTTTTATATTTTAACACTTATTTTCAAATAAAATTAATCAAAAATACAAACTGCAAATAATAACACAAATATTAGTCTCCAAAATCACCAACAATTCAAATTTAAAGAAGATAATTATCTTAATATTTTATGTAAGATGTATATATATAGTATAGGTTTCTTAAAAATATTACGAAATAAATTTTATAAATCAAATAGTTACTAGAGTTGCTATAAATATATTCTCTTGGTTATCATTACGCTAAACAAATTCAACATATTTGTAGTCACTAAAAGTTATTAAATCTTTTTTATCACCGTGATTATAATCATATATTAGGAAATATTTTATTTATATTCATATACTATATTAATTTTATATTAAAACTAATTATTTCGGGTTTTTTCGGTCCGGGCCGGGTTATAGATTTTAAGGCCCGTTAATGAACCCGGAATTTTCGGTTCGGTCCGTTTTTTTTTTAATTCGGGCCGGTTAAAAAGAAAAAACCCGGACCGGGATCATAATTTCTGGTCGGTCCAAGGTCGGTTTCCGGGTTTCGGTTCGGTTTTTCCCACCCCTAATCATCATTCAATTATATTATGTTACTAGTTTTTATCACACACATTGCGCAATTGGGTAATTGTGCAATGTGATTTATTAGGCAAGATATATGTACAAATTATTTATGTACATACGTAAGTCTATCAATAGTGTTTTCTTAAAGAAAAAGAAAAGGGGAAAAACAAAGGAAGGATTGCATGTGCGAAAAGTACAGAGATTTGTTTTGGCAATTCCTAGTCATTTCGAGACACATGGATCTTATGGAAACATGATGCACAGTCAAAAGGTTTGCTGAAGCAGCAACATCATCATTAACAGCCACTACACCTCACCTAAAACATACTACTATTACTGGTTCTATAAGTGAAAAAAAATTAGAATTAATCTGATAAGCTTATCTTATAGGTTAGAAAATGTCCTCATGTGACTAAAAAGACAATGAGCTATTGAAGAACTCACCCCATTCGGATAAACGCCAGCCAATTATTTCAGTACACAATAATGTGATTTCAAATCCCTTTGTTTATACCCTGAAAATGTTAGTAAAAGATCAAACATCATAATTAAACGGAAATGCGTCCATCTCGAAATATAAACATCTTCCATAATGCATAGCTTTAAACATAACAGTAATAAAATTCTTGATACCTTCAAGCTGCTAAACCCTAACTTATCAAAAGAGGCTTGTTGTGAGTAATTCACAACTCCAAACAGTACACAATATGTTTATTACACAATTATTGTGCACATAATACATTAACTATTGTGTAGAAGTCTTTGTGGTCGCTATTATGATTAATTTGACCATCCTGAAACAAAAGCAAAAGCAAAAAACAGAACACAAGATAAAAGAATCTAATTATACTTGGGTTCGCTTTATATGTAATTCAATCAGGTTCAATCTTAGAACCATGCCTGATGCCACATAGTAGAAACAACTTTACATGAATAACTTACACGCAAAATTACCAAAAGGTCTTGGTTAATCGGATTTCAAAATGGGGGCACCCAAAGCAACACCCCCTACACCATAGTGGTTTCATAATATTACCCCCCGTTAGGTTCCTGTTCAGGGGCGGACTCACCCTTGTTCAAAGGTGTTCATGTGAATAGGGGCGGCCCTAGGGGGTGCAAGGGGGCGGGCGCCCTAGGCCAAAAAAATATGGGTATAAATTAGGTCCAAGTTTAGTTCTTTGTAACAGGGCTGAGTAGATTGATTTTTCAGACTTAAACTAACAATTTTTTGAGTGGAATTTGTTGAAGTTCTTCCAAATGTTCTCTATGAAGTTTAGAGTACGTAAGAAAATATCAATTTAAAGTTTAATTTAGAAGTCAACTATATAAATTATTGAAAACACTGCGTTTTATACATATTTTGGCGCATTGTGTTTTAATAATTTATTTAACTGACTTCACGATTGCATTTTAAGCTGAAATTTTATGGACATAATCTACACTTGATGAAAAGCACTCTCTTAAAATTTCATATAGAAATTCCACTCGAAAGCAGATTAATCTGATATGATTATTTGATTAGTTTATTAATTGATTCCATTCATGGTTTTTTGATTTCTTAATTGTTGATTGTTGTTGGGATATATTATCCCGGCCTATTACTATTCAGGAGCCCAAGACTTACATAGTACGGAGCCCAATCAGTGAGGCCCATTGTAGCCTATCAGGCCTGTTTCGGCCTTTGGGCCCAGTTCGGCCCATTCGGCCCGTTAGGGTCGAGAGCCCCCAACATAACCCCTTTATCTATAAATAGGAGGTTTCCCTCCATGTAAAAGGATCCTTTTTGGCTTCCTCTTCCTTATTTCTCTCTAGCTAGCCCAATACTCCATGAATGGGAGCTTGTACATTGTAATGGTGAGGAGAGTCTTAATGAGAAAGAGATGACTTGGACATTAGCCTAAAAAGTGCCGTGGTTTTCTCCCTTTCGGGTTTCCACGTAAAAATAGTTTGTTCATACACATTTATACATATATTTACTATATCGTGTTGGATTAAACTCAACACTGGCGTCGTCTGTGGGAATCTTGTTAAAAAAGATTCATGTTGTTCTTGATTTTCTGAGAAAAAAATCCATTCCGAGATTCAACTGTTTTTAGCAAAAAAGAAGAAAGAATTCTAGAAAAGAAAAAAGATTCTGGGAAAGGAAGAAGAACGGAGGAAGTCCAGATCTGAAGTTTGGAAGGCCTTGGCCGGAGCAGTGCCTAAGAGCTAAATACCCATACTTTTAATTTGGTACATTAAGTGCTAATTAATACTCCCTCCGTCCCGCTATGATTGTCCCATTTTACCATTTCGGTCCGTCCCACTTAGATTGTCTCATACCTTATTTGGTAAAGTTTGTGTGGTTCTAAATCATTCCTACTTTATTCTTACTTTATCAATTCAATATCAAGCACATAAACCTACTTTTATTAATAACTGTGCCAGCTTCTCTTGTCCCAAACTTAGGGGGACGGAGGTAGTAGTTTAAAATATTAGTTTTACTAGTGTTTTTATCATCATTATTTAGTAGGGATAAAATATCCCGAAATTAAATAATGTCAAGCAAAACTCAAAGGAGTACAGCTCTAGCGATAATTAGTTTCACCGTCATTTAAATTAAATGACCAGTTGTGTGGGCCCGTCGGCCCACTCTCGATCGGCTATAGTTAACGATCAGGGCATATCTGAAAGGCCCTGTGGTAGGATAATATCAGTACTATTACCCGTTACATCACTATTATTTATTAGGGATAAAAATGTCCCGAATTAAATAATGCGGAGCGAAGCTCTAGTGATAGCTAGTTCGGCCAATATGTTATTGAATGTTTAATTATTGATGGGCCCGATTGGCCCACTCTCGATCAGCTTTGATTAGCAATCTGAGCGTTTCCAGAAGGGCGGTGCCCCGACGACGCATTTTAATTTGGGCATTACGCATTAGT